AAGTCTACGGAAGTGAGGCAGAAATGATCTACACTTCCCCCAGCCTTGTTGTCTTACCTTCAGTATTTGAAATCCTGGGACCTGCATTGAAATAGAAAGTTCATTATGTGACAGAGAGACTAACAATGGTTAGTACCTGCCAAGAATTTGATCTCTCCGATAAACACCCACTTAATGGACGGATCATTCAGGAAATCCACTAGAACATGCACTGTGCGATAGGACGAAGATAGTCTGTCTCCAGAAATACTCAGGGTTGTTAGAGAGTCACATGATGACTGGCTGGAAGGCTTTCCAGTGATAAACTGAAGCTCAGGAGTGAAGGTTAAGTTGTACTCTTCATTGAGGTACGCGGTAACGTATGGAGCACTAATGTTCCAGTCAGGGCAGATGAACAAGTCCATCTCAATTCCAGACAGAGGCACAGCTGTGTCAAAGCCAAATGTCAGCAGAACATGCGGAATAAAGATTCCAGGGTCACGCTCGTCCCTTTTCACTGTCACTAGCCGAGATGCCCAGTCAGGAGAATCAGTGTTGATTAGTGGAGAAGACCCATCCACCAGATAGCTCCCTGGACTCCCACATGTTGTACCATTGAACAGATCAACCACACAACCCATGTTGGCAGCAGATCCATTGACCGACTCTAATCCTTCTGGTATCACCTGTATTTGTGGCACAGCACCTGGACGGTAGGGAGATGAGGGCATCAACTAGCTATACATAACCCAGTCCACTGAAGTTCCAAAGAGACTGTTTATCTAGCTCACGCTAATGCTCACTTTGACTGAGGCTCAGACTAAGTATAGCTGGCAGTAGAAAGAGACTCCTCATGGCTATCATAATCAATCACCAAGTTTGACAGATTGAGGCTGACTAATCTGCCACCACTCTTATAGCGTCGTAGGTGGAGAAATACGTTCTCGACTTCCTGTCAACATCCATAGTGAATGTTATGGGTGTGAGAGGAAGTAAACTACAGATAGAGTTATTCAGCAACCTAGATAAACAGTCTCTTTGGAATAACATATGCTACTGCTTGTAAGTGTAAAGTGAGGCACACCTTGCGTAACTGCTGCACACACGGTCCTTTGTGTCAGTGTGTGTAGCCTCATGGAGTCATGTTATCATAGACAGTAGTATATACTAACTCAGCTACATTCCGTAATTTGTGTTACAGCTAGGTGTGATAATTGGCAAGCGAAGTGAGCCCTCCTAGTTGTCTGAATTTTTCTTAGATGAACGGGCACTGCCACAGATTTAAAAATACGGGTGAAACCCACGAATTATCTGATCCACACATTATGTTACGGAAAAGCAATTAGACAATGTTTTTTCAAGAAGTCACAATTAGAATGCCTAACTATGCGATGACTCGACCTAGTGAAGCTACCTACATTGAGTATATAGCAACACTGATTTGTCACTTCACCACATCACCGTAACTTCTTCTCATGGGCCGGTTATCTTGGTCAGAGCATATGCCTCAATAGCCTTCATGCTTTCAACAGCATTCAACACATGGCATGTGGGCTCAATAGCAGCAATAGTGGCTATATTCTCATCTCTATGTCCCAGTGGTGGAGGTAGTTCAGATATATACAACCAGTGGGGTCCAGACTGTCCAATGAGGGGTGTGTCCTTACAATGCCTTCATGTGCTTTCAATACACGAAGGCTATTGTACATGGCATGTGGGCTCAATAACAGCAATAGTGTCTCCTTATGTCAGCATTTACGTCAGTGCATGTGCATACAACTTAACATTTTTGTGGGTGATTGTTTATGCTAGTGAAAGTGCATTGATGAAAGTGAACTACATTCTTCTGTAACGAAGCACAAAACCTTAGCCACTAACTAAGCTATATGTTTACTCTTTGCTTTCTTCTGTCATTTCACCACCTCATAGGTAACTTCTTCCCTTGGGCTGGTTATCTTGGTCAGAGCATATGCCTCATTAGGAGAGACAGGAACATCAGTTGTCTTGGTGGTAGGGTTAGTGGCCTCTGCATAGGTCTCAGTCTTGTTCCTAGACCTCCTCATTCTGAAGATGAGTAGACATTGAGTGAGGATGACTGTGGTGAGAGTGAGGATCAGCAGGAGAGATACTGCTGACACAGCAATCACAGCTGAGCTACTGGACTCCTCACTGCATGTACAGTCATTCTCTCTGTCTCCAGGAACTGAGGTAGGCACAATTTCAGCTACATAATAATGTGAACAGATGCTATGTAGAGTGAGCTCACTAAATGACTATAGCAAGCTAGCTTATCTCTTACCTGCACTAGATGATGTTACCATGATTGACAGCTCCTCATGGTTAGTCTTTGTCACAATGTTCTCCACACCTGCAGGGATGTTAGGTAATTGGTATATATATTATACTGTTATTGTTATTTTAATCCTTTCACCTCCAGTGAGAGGTGGTCTTGACGGTACCTTAATGATTGTTGGAACTGCATGGATGGAAAAAATATGGGAGACATTGATTATGCATTGGAGACGAGTAATGAGCTACAGTAATGATCATTATCTGCATCTAGTATCTGCCTTAAAAAAAACAAAAGCCCAAACGGTGTAAGCTGATCATTATCATTTTGCCCACCATGTATATCTTGCCAAATTACCATTGGGCAAAAATCGTAAAATTTAGCACTCCTTTAGCAAAAGTATAGCGATTCGGCTGGTCAAGAACCTTGCTGACCAGTGTCAGAACAACTATATAGGTATTATCATAACACTTACGTGATGTTAGTGATGAGGATAGTGAAGTTGAGAAATGAAATGAAGACAGTTTTATTGGAGATGATCATGTATGGAAGTCCTATATGCCCACTCTGAGATGATAACCCGCTTGAAGTTGTGCAACAGGTGAGTAGAGGAGACGGCTGTGACCCTGAAGATGTGAAGATGATGGTACTACCGCTGATAACCAAAATCTAAAATGTTAATGCACTCTTTAGCGAAAAGCATAGTGATTCGGCTGGTCAATAACCTTGCTGACCAGTGTCAGAACAACTATATAGAACACTTACGTGATGTTAGTGATGAGGATAGTGAAGTTGAGAAATGAAATGAAGACAGTTTTATTGGAGATGATGAGGTATGGACAGTCGTATATTGCCCACTCTGAGATGAATAACCCACTGAAGTTGCAACAGGTGAAGTAGAGGAAGAAGGCTGTGACTCTGAAGATGGTGAAGATGATGGTACTACCCGTCACAAAGAGTCAATTAAAGTGATATTGAATCCCTCGCCTTTAAGATCAAATAAAACGTAGAGCAACAACAGCCACAGCATTTTCCTTATCATCCTCAAAACGACGCAATGGCTCTGCAAAAAAGTATTGCAGTTTAGGTTACGCAACATAACGCGCATGCGTATTCTTCTTCTTCTTCTTCTTCTTTGTAACCTCCACTGAAGGAGAGTAGCCCTAGGTGCGGGCGAAGATGAAGTGAATCAGGGTAGAAGACGAGTGCGAGCAGATAGAATATGGTGGAGAAATTCAATGCACGCGTGCTGCACGGGGGTGTCGTCCAACCACTCTGGTGCCGAGGATGATGCGCAAGAGTTACTCCCTCCTCTCGACCTTTGGTGACCTTTGCATCAATACTATGGACTTCCCGTGGTGTTGGGAAGAGGACGGCCATTCCTGGGCTCTGCCGTGTCAACCCCAGGGATCAGCAGGTCCGTATGTCCTCAGGGGAGACTGCTGGCCGTGGTGAGCGGCCGTGGAGCAGTGACAGTGTACTCACTGACGAGAGATACCAGTGGCAGAGAGTGTGTCGTGTCCTCTGACTCGTTTTCAAGGTTAGGACAGAGACTATCTATATTACCTAGGCCCATGGCTAGTTATAGTATACTCCGTTTGACGGATCTACTGCAATATTAGCTGACATCTGGCATTGAATGCTGTGAGCATGATCAGTACATAATCATATAAAAGGAGGTCAGAGATTATAGCTAGCCATAGTATAAAATTAATACATTCGTGCGCTATTTTAGAATTGTATGCAGTAGAGCCCATAGTTATACCTTCTGTGTTGTGTCGTACATCTCTCACTAGTAGTATGGTGTTCCATGGTGGAGGTAGAATTATGTCTATTCCTAGTGTTCAGTGGGTGTGTCCGAGACAGAGCTCCACCTCTGACATTGTACTGGATGCTGCCCAGAGCTCAGCCAGGCAACTGGTGGGAGTGGGGAGAGGGGGAGATGTGAGATGGTGGAAAGTGAGGGAAGAGGAGGAGGAGGGGGAGGGAGGGGGTGAAGGTGGAGGTCTTGGCTGCTCTCAAGAAGGCAGGGCTCAGCAGTCAAATTCATTTGTATATGTTAAAAAATTGTGGTTCATTGCATGAACTAAAGACTGTTTTCATCTAGAATGTGCTCCTGTTTTGTTTCCGTATTGTGTAAATGCGCATTAGGTAGAAATTCACACTGCATCATTTAATGTTCAAAGCCAGTTCCATTATCATTTAAATCTGTGGCTTAATTGACAGTGAAGTGAGCCTCCTAGTCGTCTGATTGCGGAATTTTCCTTTATGTGTGTATAAGGGTACTGCCACATACTGTAATGTTATAGTAATTCTTATTACGCGTGAAATGAGTGAAAATTGAACTGCTTGCTTCTCTTCCCAATAATTCCTAAGGCTATATTCTCATCTCTATGTCCGAGTGGTGGAGGTAGTTCAGGTACAGCCAGTGGGGTCCAGTGAGGGGTGTGTCCTTACAATACCCTTCGTGTGCTTTCAACACACGAAGGGTATTGTATGCATTATACACATGACATGTGGGCTCAATAGTGTCTCCTTATGTCAGCATTTTCATACACATCAGGGCATGTGCAAACAACTTAACACTTTTGTGGGTGAGTGTTTATGCTAGTGGAAGTGCATGGAGTACAGAGACTATATAGCTAACAGTGTTCATGAAAGTCAACTAAATTATTCTGTAATGAAGCACAAACTTAGCTACTAAGTAAGCAATACGTTTACTCTTTGCTTTCTTCTGTCATTGCATCACCTCATAGATGACTTCTTCCCTTGGGCTGGTTATCTTGGTCAGAGCATATGCCTCATTAGGAGAGACAGGAACATCAGTTGTCTTGGTGGTAGGGTTAGTGGCCTCTGCATACGTCTCAGTCCTGTTCCTAGACCTCCTCATTCTGATGATGAGTAGACATTGAGTGAGGATGACTGTGGTGAGAGTGATGATCAGCATGAGGGATACTGCTGACACAGCAATCACAGCTGAGCCACTGGACTCCTCACTACATGTACAGTCATTCTCTCTGTCTCCAGGAGCTGAGATAGGCACAATTTCAGCTAAAAAAAAATGTGAACAGATACTATGTAGAGTGAGGTCACTAAATGATTATAGCTAGCTAGCCTTTTCTCTGACCTACAGTGGGTGTTGCTATGATTGACAGCTCCTTATGGATGGTCTTTGTCACAATAATGTTCTTAACACCTGCAGGGACGTTAGGTAATTGGTATATTATACTGGTATTGTTATTCTAATCCTTTCTCACCTCCAGTGAGGGATGGTCTTGACAGGTCCTCATTGTTTGTCAGAACTGCATGACAGAAAAGTATGGTAGACATGGATATGCATTTCTCTGAGAGAGATACTAGATGCAGATAATGATCATTACTGTAGCCATCTCATTATTACTCGTTTAAACAAAAGCCCGGACTGTGGTAGTTATCATTTTGGCCACCATGTTTAGATGGGCCAAAAGGTTTCCTAAATATTGCACTCCTTTAGCAAATGAGCATAATTATAATAGTCACTCTCCTTGTCTATAACCCTGTCTGATCCCAGAGCATTAGCCTATATCTACCTATACAAATTATTGTTATAAACTCACATGATGTTGATGAGGACAGTAAAGTTGCAAGATTAAATGAAGACGGCTTTGATGAAAGGGTTGGTTTAAGACAGGTTGGACCTTCTATATATGAAGATGGATAAGTAAATATTGGCATGGATAGAGAATTTGGTTGAAGACAAGTTGGATTGTCTATACCAATGAACCTGACCTCTCCCACATGAACCCACTGTATGGATGAGGTGTGTGATAGGTCCACTAGAATATAGACTGTGCGATGGGGTCCATTTAGGAATGAGCCTCCAGAAAAGGTAACAGTTGAAAGAGAGTCACAAGATGACTGGAGGGAGTTATCATCAGGCACTACAAATGAAAGGCTATATAATATGTCGGTGGTAGCTGCTAAGTTGTAATCTGGATTCAGATACACTATGATAGATGGAATACCAATGTTTCAGTCAGGACAGTTGAACACGTCCATCTCAATTCCAGTCAGAGACACAGCTGTGTCAAAGCCAAATGTCAGCAGAACATATACGAAGTAAAAATTTCTCTCATTCCTCCTCACTGTCACTAGCTGAGATGCCCAGTCAGAGGTACTTGTGTCAATATCAGGAGAGCAACCATCAATCAGATAGCTTTGTGACCCACACACCATCACACCACCACAGTCTACTAGTGGACTAGTACATCCCATTGTCACACTAGATCCATTGACTGACTCTATTCCTTGAGGTACTACTAGTTGCAATGATAAACCACCTGCACATTTAGTCACAAAGAGTCAATTAAAGTGATCTTGAATCCCTCACCTGTAAGATCAAATAAAACGTAGAGCAAGAACAGCCACTGCATTTTCCATATCATCCTGCAAAAAGGCGCAACGGGCTCTGCAAAGAAAGAACGCGCATGCGTATGAGCAAGGGTTATTCCCTTCTCTCGACCCTTGGTGACCTTTCAGCCTTCGCATCAGTATGGACCGTGGTGTTGGGAATAAGACGGTCATTCCTGGCCTCTGCCGTGTCCACTCCTGGAATCAGCAGGTCCGTATGTCCTCAGACTGCTAGCCGTGGTGAACGGCCGTGGAGCAGTTTCAGTGTACTCACTGACGAGAGATACCAGTGGCAGAGTGTGTCGTGTCCTCTCAAGGTAAGAACAGAGACTATCTATTTTACCTAGGCCCATGGCTAGTTATAGTTTGACTGATCTACTGCAATATTAGCTGACATCCGGCATTGAACCCAGTGAGCATTAACAGTGTATATAATAGGAGGTCAGAGACTATAGCTAGTCACAGTATAAAATTACTACATTCGTGCACTATCTTAGAATTGTGTGCAGTAGACCCATAGAAGATATTCTGCTATACCTTCTGTGTTGTGTCGTACATCTCTGACTATTATAGTAGTACATTGTATGGTGGAGGTAGAATTATGTTTATTCCAGTGTTCAGTGGGTGTGTCCGAGACAGAGCTCCACCTCTGACATTGTACTGGATGCTGCCCAGAGCTCAGCCGGACAACTGGTGGGAGTGGGGAGAGGGGGAGATGTGAGATGGTGGAGAGTGAGGGAGGAGGAGGAGGGGGAGGGAGGGGGTGAAGGTGGAGAGCCTCTAAATGTGGAGGTCTTGGCTGTGCTGAAGAAGGCAGAGTTCAGCAGTCACCTTGGAAGATTTGGATATGAAATTGTGGTCTAAAGATTTTTTCTATGTATCTTCGAGAATGTGTTCGAATATTTTTGTTTTGTTTCCATATTATGTGCAAATTCATTAAGTAGAAATTCACACTCCATCATTTAATGTTCAAAGCGAGTTCCATTATCATTTGAATGTGTGGAGATTGAAGTACTGTGGGTTGACGTCTGATTGCGGAATTTACCGCTATGTGTATAATTGGGCACTGCCACATACTGTAATGTTATAATTATATACATAATTCTTAATACGAGTGAAATGAGTGAAAATTGAACTGTTTGCTTCTCTTCCCAATAATGCTTTGCATTCCTCTAGTAGAAGATTTTCATTAAGGCATCTCTATGTCCCAGTGGTGGAGGTAGTTCAGGTACACTGTTAAAAATATGGTGTTATCTAACACCCCATTTTCTGTACCAAAACTGGCAGGGTGTATTGGAGCACCTCAGGGGTGTTCATTAGGCTTAAGTAGGTGTTTACTAACACTCTTGGGGGTGTAGAGTAAACCATGGCACATTCTAGTGCTCACCACAACACCTAAGGGTGTAATCCTACACTGACCCAGCACCTATATCACAACTTCCTTTCTATGCCTTGTGCATTGTTGTTTAATAATAATTATTGTTCATAGGACGCAATGTCAGAAAATTTCTTCATCCCATATCACATTCTCTTCACTGTTTTATTATTGTTATTGTTTCACACACCGGTAGGTGCAAGAAAGTAATTAAGAAGAATTGATGATGGATATAAAATTTGATCCTCATAAGGAGAGTGAATACCATGAAGATGTCTTAAAAAAATATTGTGCTGGAGACATTGTGCATCATAGTCAATGTAAATGAGAATGACAGTATACAGACGAGTCACACCCACTGCGCATGCGCGTCGAAGGTGTCTGCGCGTGCAGCGCAGCATGACCTTTACTATCCGGCACGCCCACGTACACCGGTGGTTAGTGAGATCATGTTCGCGCTCATTTTCAAATGCAAGTAGAAGTAGACTATCTCTATGGCTGTGTTTTTGGCGACTCAAGCTACAGTATTTAAAGGCTTTCTGGAGCCCAAGACCACCATCAGACGAATACCATGGCTACGAACGCCGCGATAGAAGATTTCGATGTAGCGTCACCCCGTCGAAGAAAACGTAAGGACTGATCATAGCTACGTAGCTGCTAAGACGGCACTGAATTGTTTTAGACTCCAGCTACTCCGAGCCCAGTATCACAGCCAGCAGCAGCAGCAGCAGCAGCAGCGATGGGTACTACAGCCTGGGTTAGTGCTTGGTGTTCCTGACGTTTTCTCCAGACGGACGCGTGAGGGAATTGAGAAAGGAGAGAGTAGGAGCGGCCAGCATGTATTTAGATAACTTTGTTACTTCCAGTACCAGTATGGCAGTCGAGGGGAGGGAAGATCAGAACAGTAGGGCTGAAAGTGAGTCATGCAATCGGTATTTTCAATGCTTTCAGATGTTGGTATTTCTTCATAATAATTATTATGAAGAGGAATTTAAAAGGCTATATAGGAGTTGAAATTGCTGAAGAAATTGGCAGGATTTATTGATATCTGCCAAGATTGGTATAATTATATCTTTGCAGAGTTGGAGTCACAAACCGATAGGGATGCCCTTTCAAAGCAGCAGGAAGAAGTCAATTCATTTCCTCCTGATGCATAATGATGAGCATACATGGTACTGTACACTTCCTTCTCATATTTCAAGTTGGTCAAGTGAGTGTGAAAATATAATTTATATGCCAGTATGTATAGTTGTATTGGAGGTGCATGCATACATCTTTCTTCCCACTTCACAGGATTGCAGCTGCTGCATTCTTTGGAGCTTACTGCTGTAAGTCAACATTATATATAATATCATGTACATAACTATGGACGAACTGTTGTTATAGAATGAGCCTGACCTTGATGAGGCTGTGAAGAAAATCACTGAAAACCATGGTTACATCTCTGTGGTTACTTCTGACAAAAGGACTCTAGCATCATTTAAACAATAGAAATTTTATCTTATGCTCTTTACTGTATCATTGCTCTTTGTATCTCATGCTCTTTTACTGTTAAATATTTTTGTCACTTCAACAGTAAGAGCAGTGGCGCTACTGCAACAACCGAACAGCGCTCTAAAGCACCAACCGCGTGTTGTCGAACACCCTATGAAATGTTTATGAACACCCCAAAGGGTGTATTGTAGCATCAATAGAAAGGCTAAATAGCACTCTTATGGGTGTACATTGCCCCAGAAAGGGTGTTCCTGTACACTCTTATGGGTGTACATTGCCCCAGAAAGGGTGTTCCTGTACACTCTTATGGGTGTACATTGCCCCAGAAAGGGTGTTCCTGTACACTCTTATGGGTGTACATTACCCCAGAAAGGGTGTTCCTGTACACTCTTATGGGTGTACATTACCCCAGAAAGGGTGTTCCTGTACACTCTTATGG